GCATCTCTCAGGATGATGTGAGGCTCATGCACACTATAAACTTCTGTAAAAGTAAGAGAAATAGTACAAAATGCTTCTGTAGTAGGTAAAGACACCGACTTTCATGCAGCAAGGGACAAGATGCCACTCAGCAGCTGTTTCTTCTCTTCTGGGAGGACGCACGTTGTGGATGGAGTCGGAGGTGGGGAGGTGGCCGAGGAAGAAGTCGAACACCTGTGCAAGGCAATAAGCGCGGGAATGACCTGCTGAGGGGCAACCGTGAGTGCGGCTCTCTGGGCTTTGATGTTAAGTTGACCTGAAGCTTCAGAATCATGAACCGATGTGTGTGTGTGTTAGTTTAAACTGAGAGTAAAAGAATTATGACCTTGTAAAAATGCCCCTGGACTTCAACTCCTTGTTCCTGAGAGTGCTGGCCTAGAAATAGTTATGTGTCTGTTTGCAACATGCACAAGGCGACCCAGAGCGGAGTGCCTCCTGCTTACATCAAGGATGCAGATGCCCAGGCCCGTGTGGTGGGTGGCCGCCGGGACCCCTCCCCAGCATCCCACGGTCCGGGACCCGCGCTGGGAAGCTGCGGAATTAAGGTAGGGACGCGACTGGCCGACTCTGCTTTGGTTCCAGAGAGAAAGCTGTTTCTAGAAAATGGCATTCTTTCAAGCTACGTTGTTATTTTGAAAGATACCAAAGGGCCCTGGCAAAGACGAGGTTTTCAGGTTGCCGCACCCTCGGATGTGAAAGCAGGACCAGGTGAGAGGCTGTGCACCCACGCCCCACACCCTGCCCCCCCCCATGCCCCCTCTGCCAACAGAGGCTGAGTCTGCAAATCATTTGGGGCCTTTTAGGAACTTTACAGCTCACCCTCAAGTTTAGTTTATTTGACTCTCTTAACTTTGGTAGATTTATGGTTGGAGAAAATGAAAGGTACCTATCATTAATTTCTGGGCTAGTTCATTCATCCATGTTCCCAAGGGGTTTGCTCTCCTCTGGAGCAGACGTTGTTACACCGAAGGTCACCTGCAGGGAGATGACTCACCAAGGGCTCCTCTCCCCTTGCTCGGCGGGTCCGGCGGGTCCGCAGGGAAGAAGCCCGCACGGAGGCCCCGCAGCATCCCTCCCTGCACGCTTCTTCAGCTGCTCGCTTCGCATCCTTTCTGCAAGGCCTCATCTAGGTGAATGAACCCTCTGATCACTAAGTGGTCCGCATGTGTGTGTTGGTGTTTCAGTTCTCCACAACAGAAGCTGGTCTGAGAGAATTCTGCCCACCCAAAGGGGAGGTAGGAGGTGCAGAGAGGAGTTCTGATGGCCTTGGGAGTTCTGCCCTGCCTGAACGTGGATCATAAGCCAGAAAGGTAAATTCCCTCTTGCTCCAGCTAGCCTGATTGGGATTTCGATTACTCGCAAACTGAGTCAGCTCAGCTACTTCTAAAAACTTGTAACTGAAACTCATTTCCCTTCTATGGAAGCCCCCATTTCTAACCATCTCCTTGAGTCACATTTTTTTTCTGTGAATTTCGATGTACATAGATGAATAAAAAAAAATCTTTTTCTCTTAAAAAAAATTTCCCCTCAAACAAGTATTTTACACGAGCATGCTAATTCTTTTGAATAAAAAATTTATTTTGTAACTCAAGTAAGCACTTTCAAAGTTATCGTCTATACAAATAGGGTATTAGGTTTTCTTATAATACACCAGTGTTGTCATATACAATGGAGGGAGTAACAGTAAAATACAGTGCAGGCAGTTCTTCTCAATTTGCCAATTCACTGAATAATTCGAATGAAAGGTATAGTAGTCACATAGAAAGAACTATTTTATTTTCAATAATAAAAATATTATACCCACTCTATTATATAACAAAATGTAATTGACTATTCGCTTAAGTGATAAAACAGTTAATAAATTGATTTAGGTTATAATCAGAAGAACATGAGTGTAAATCTGTAGGAAGACAGGTATTTTCAAAACAAAATTCCAGTGAAAGGCTAAACATTCTCAAACATAAAGAGTACAACAAGAATAAATGGCTTCTGTTTAACATGTTTTTGCTTTAGTGTCCGGAAAGCCACAAATTTGATAAACATATGGTAAAGCCAAAGTTTTCCGGACATGAGTTATGCGATATTTGTTCAGAAACGATGCCAACCATATCGACAGAGCATCACAGGGGTGGGGGGGAGGAGCGCTCGCCCATGCTGACTCGGTTAAGTAACAGGCAGAGGCAGTGATGGAGGCGGCTGGAGGCCGGGAACGGGAGGGAAGCTCACAACACTCACAGCACAGCTAGAGAGGAAAAAGCTGAGCCGGGCATAACCCAGGCAGGGACACGTTCTCTGCAGCTCGGGTTTTTTATTTTTAGAGCGTTCTGAGACAAATTCCAGCAAGATGTCTGGTTTGAGCCAAGCCTTTCTTCTTGAACTTGACTTCTCAACTGAGGTACTTGGCATACTTAAGGGAAAAAATGAATACACTCAGATTTCATTTTGTTAGATATTAAGCTAGAAAAGCAGCTGAAGGAATAAGAACAAGCCAGAAATCAAAATCCTGTTTCCTGTAAAACACCGTACAGACAGGTTTTGCTTATTAATGGAACAGGAAAGGAGGGAGAATTGGAGTTGAGGCTCTTTAAACAAGCAAAGGGAAGGGGAGAGGAGTGTAGGAATGCAGAGGCACCCCCCCCCCCAAGGATGGAAAGGAAATCCAGATTCTGTCCATTTGATGTCCTGCTTTGGGCATTTGTAGCAAAGGCACCTGTGCCTAGAGGAGTACATTTGCAGTATCCGGCTCTGGTTAATTTCCCAAGTGCTACCACATGGGTTAGCTGGGAGTTGTGCCAGGCATCTTCCCCCTTCTGAAATTAGGCTACAGCCTAAGTTCCTAAGCGATCAGAATCCCTCGGAACCAGGCTAGTCAGGAAGCTGTCCCACTGTGTCCAGTCCCAGCGTGCTTCTGCTGGTCACAGAAGTTGGGGCCAGCCAGCAGGGGGAAGGGTATGCTTGTATTTCTGGCTCATATGCTTTTCAAATAAAATGCATTTGACCAAAGGGAACACAGTCCCAAACCTTCCTAACCTCCATATATGCATGCAACCCAAGCCACCAAAAGGCGAGTTCATTGTTCCCGAGGTTGCGGGTACGGGGAGTCTGTTCTGTAATGCAAAAGACTACACACCAAAATCCAAGGCCCAAATTAAGTGACTGCTGCAGCCCGCTATAAACCAGTAGGAATGCCATTTATACTTCTGGCAGATCAGAGTGCCACCCCACTGAATGTTATTTAAAAAATATTTTATCAGGAAGTAAGGTCACTTTGCTTGTTTTTAACCTGTACAAGTTAGTGTTTGCTTTGAAACATAATTGCATACAGTGCTTTTTCCTCCTGGGGATTCTTTTAATTTTGGAGGCATGTCTGTGTTCCAGGCCCTTTCTCCAAGCTCTTACTAACCATAGTTCTATCTATATTAAGTAGTTGCAAATGTGGTCTTAATGGGATGTCATTTACTTAAATCTCTAATACTTAAGGCGACTGCTCAATGTGCAGTATTTTCTGGGGATCCTTCTCTGAAAAGGGAAGCACAAATGGCTACAGTATTTTATGAAGCAGTTGAGATAATTTGGGGTTTTTTTTTAAGATTTTATTTTATTTATTTGACAGAGAGAGAGAGAGAGAGCACAAGCAGAGGAAACAGGAGAGGGAGAAGCAGTCTCCCCACTGAGCAGGGGGCCTGATGTGGGGCTCGATCCCAGGACCCTGGAATCATGACCTGAGCCAAAGGCAGAGGCTCAACAGACTGAGCCACCCAGGCGCCCCGATAATTCTGGATCAAGTTGAAGACAAATCATTATTCACTTTGAAACTGATACCACTAATGCCAAAGAACTTGATTTTCAGGCTCATCTGGAGTTCAGAAGCTTTGTGCTAAACATAAAAAAAAAAAAAAAAAGACAATGACTTAAATTTTCTGAAGTTTAGAAACGACATCCAAAGGACAAAGGTAACTTTTTTGCCAGTGCGGTTAGAACAGTGACAATGGATGATTTATCCTACCAATTCGATCAACAAGTGCCTTTGTGGTTTCTCCACTGTACCGGATTAAGTGCACATGCGTGTATGCGGAGAAAAACAAAAAACAGGCTCTCCATGTCCTTGTTTTTAAAATGCGTATTCTCTCCCACGCCAGTCATTCAAATAACATGAGAATGTGCTCCTCTAAAAGAATCCCAGCTGTATCTAGGGATTTATTTGTTTTAAAAAATAGAAGTAAGGTAGGTACGGGAATGTCTTTAACAACCAAAGGAATCGACCTTAAGATGATAACCTGGAATGACAGTTCTCTAATTTTAAAGCCTGCAGTCCAAGCTTGTAATGCGCAAAGGCATATTCATTCAAGACTTTTGTAAGAAGTGCATACACTATCTAAATATTGCTGAAGGAAAACTGAGTGCCTCTCTTATATACAAAGCAGATGAAGACCAGAAGCAAGTAGAGCTTGTCCCACAAACCGAAGCAGATTTCCATGCCAAGACTTAGCAAGTTTCATAGGCAGGGAATGCTGCCTGTGGAGTATGGTTACAGTTCTCGAGCCGGGGGGGGGGGGGGGGGGCGCACATGAAGTGAGCGGGTGGGAGAGAAATCTAGCACTCTGAGAGGTAAAAAGAGAGTCCCCATTTGTAATGAGTACAAAACTTGATTAGGCAACAAGATTTTCTGGCTGGAAGGCACAAGAAAAATGACCGTGACAATAACTTACTAAGACAATGGAAATTAAGGGAAAAATAATTGCTTTAGGGGGGCAGTACAGGTGAATCATTAGCACATCAACCCACTGGGGCTGAAACACAGCACCCTAATGTGGGGACTGGCCGAGGGGAAGGACTGGGTCAGAGGGACAGAGGGTTTGGTGCTCTTGGTTTAGTTTCAGTGACTGTTCAGCACTTGGTGAAGCCGTTGTGCCTTTTAAATGGAGACCCCCAAAATCCTCTATGTGACAGAAGACTGAAAATTGTAGAGAGTTATATAAACATTTACTGTTGATATGTCCCAGAGGTTAGACCAAGTTCACTGGTCTGGCTGAGTGGGGTCTCCGGATTTTGTCCACCACCACTCAGCGGTACAAAGGCAACTAAACAGAAAAGACGAAAGGAATCATTATGACTTCTTTCCTTCGTTATATGTCCATAATCTGCATAAAATAAATAACACATGTTAAGTCAATACTAGGGTTAAAATCTGGAAATGAGGGGGGGAAAAGAGGCACAGCAATCTGGTATTCTTAAGGCAAAACAATAGGGATCTCTTTAAATAGACACTTTATTATATCCACAGGCGATAAAATCCCAGAGCTACTGTTAGGCACGTAAATACAGATCCTGTAAGAAGAAAAAAAAATGAGCAAAGTATTAGTTGTGTTAACAGTTACTTAAAGGACAACTTTTTATTAAGAAAACATACAGGTGCTGATCCACCTACCCACCAAACAGAGAAACACACACAAGAAACTCAGATCACCGGCTGATGGGCCACATTCCACGAGACACCTGCCCACTAAAAAACCCTGTTCCTTGCAATCACCATCTTCAAAGCAGAACTGTATCCAACATTCAACAAAACTTTTCAATGAATGTCAGAAATTCTGTGATCCCTCTTTTGGCTCAAAAATTGCAAAACCAAAATAACTCCTTACAAGGAGTGTCACCAACTGAAGCAGAAAGATCACAACTCGAAAGCCTTTCATTCCATCCATAAAATATCATCTTGAATTTCACTAAAAAAAAAAAATTCCAAGTAACTACAGTTCAATGGCAGTATCTTATAAAGCTTAAGATTCCACCGGTTGTAAAGCACATCATTTTACTACTAAGGAAAAAAAACTACCGATTACCGTATGATATTTGATCTATCAGAAATCATAACCTGCCTTCTAATTTCAGGGATGTTAAAATGTGAAAAAAATGTGTTAGAATCAATGAAACGCAGTATCTGTCTTTGACTTATTTTCCAAATTTCATTTATTTTCTGCGTGTTTGAACTACCTAGACACAAAAGAGCTTACCTGCTAAATACTTAATGTTATCGAGCTTGTGCGACTCCAGCATGGTTTTGAGGCCTGCGACCTCAGTGTCTATCTTCCTGTCTGTCTGGGTGACAGCACGATCTTGCTGGGCATGCTTTTAGAACAAAGAGATTCACAGCATTAAACCACTTTGGATCCACCTGCCGTCCCCTCGGCTCCCACCGTCCTACAGGCCCTCCCCTGCCAGGGAAAGATCGGGTACGATTAAGGAGACGTGGGCTTTAGCTTTAGTTCTACTATTCTCATGTTATGTTGTGTTGGTCAGGGCCTTGAATATCTCTGGGCCTGTTTACTTTAATTTGAAAAAAGCAAAAAAACTCAACAAAACCCAAAAACAAACACACACCACTGGCCCTGCCTTCACACAGGACAATCAAATGTGATAATGTATGTAAAGCTTCTGTAAATGATAGATTGCTCTACAAATCAAGGTTAAAGTTAAAAGGCAGTCTGTTCTCAAAGACTATAAAGGTACCTCATCTTTCTAAGTTCCTCCCGATGAGAGGTATACAAAAACTGCTTTAAGAAGTGAACACAGGGACGTCTGGGTGGCTCAGTCTGTTGAGAAGTATGAGTGTCTGCCTTCGGCTCAGGTCATGGTCCAATGATCCTGGGATCGAGCCCCACATGGGGCTCCCTGCTCATCAGGAAGTCTGCTTCTCCCTCTACCTGCCACTCCCCATGCTTGTGTTCCCTCTCTCTGACAAATAAATAAAATCTTAAAAAAAAATGAAAATAAATAGTGAATGCAATCTTAGATATTCTAAAAGCAACAGTGTTTGCCTTGACACAATTCCTATTCACATTTTAAGGTTTTCTTCTTTCATAGTTCCCAAACACGAAGTATTTTATTAGTATGAGGCTTGGTTATACCAAAGGCCTATTTGTGTTCTTTTCCAAATATAATACAGTTAAACTACATACATAACCAACCCCTAAGGGTGGTGAGTTTGGCTGATGTTATAAAGGGGTTGTAATATTTCATTAATGCATAAAAATAATTCACTAAATATCCTAGGACAAGTAAGTACAATTGACCCTTCAACAATGTGGGTTTGAAGTGCATGGGTCCACTTACACCTGATTTGTTTCGATACGGTACAGTACTATAAATGTATTTTCTCTTTATGATTTTAATAACATTTTGTCTCTAGCTTACTTTTAGTGTACAATACACATAACATACAAAATACGTGTTCACTGTTTATGTTATCAGGAAGGCTTCCGTTCAACAGTAGGCTATTAGTAGTTAAGTTCCTGGGGAGTTGAAAGTTATATGCAGATTTTTGACTATGGGGGAGGGTCTCTAACCTCCCTATTGTTCAAGGATCACTTGTATGTAGTTCCTTATGGCTAACAATCCTGGTAATGAACAAGGATGAGTAGAAAAGTATTCCAGAGGAATATTCTACTATTCTCTGATGTAAGTGTCTTGCAAGTTTTGGAGGTCCCAGGTAATAGAAGATGGAAAAAAAGTATAGCAGGTCATTAAGTCCGAAAAATAATTTAAAAAACCACCATTCCTTATTATTCTTCAATCACTGGAATTTAAACTTTCATTAAGATAAACAAATATTCTATTAAGTGCCAAAAAAATTCTAGGATCCTCCACTTCTGAGTACCTACCCCCGGAGAACTGAAAACAAGGAGTCCAACAGATATTGGTACAACCGCGCTCACAGCAGCATTATTCACAATGGCCAAAAGATGAAGGCAACCCACGTGTCCACTGACAGGATAATCCAAATGTGGTCTACCCGTAAAATGGAATGTTATTCAGCCTTAAAAAGGAGGGAACTTCTGACAGGCTATAGCATGGATGAACCTTAAGGACATTAAGCTGAGCGAAAGAAGCCAGTCACAGGACAAATCCGGTATGAGTCCACTTCTATGAGGTCCCTGGAGCAGGCACACTCACAGGGACCGAAAGCAGAATGGAGGCAGCCAGGGGTTGGGGTAGAAGGAATGGGAGTGAGCGTGTGACAGGTAGTTTCAGGTCTACAAGATGTAAGGAACCCTGCGGATGGACGCCAGTGATGGTTATACGAGGATATGAATGTACTTAATGCCACTGAACCGTTCACTTAAAAATGGTTCAACTGGTAATTTTACGTGTACTTTACCACAATGAAAAAAAAAACACCCCCCTAGGACACAAAACTTGAGCATCCCCTCCCATTAACACATCATTACAAAGGACAGTAAGCATGCATGGGATGAAGCCAAGATGAACACAGTGACCAAGAAAAGTAGTCTCATTTCTTACCAATGCCACCATTTCTGTCCTCATTTCCAGCAGCTTCCTTTCATTCAACGAGTACTGAAACAAACAAACGTGTAACATAGGTCAGATTCTGATTTATTCCTTCCTCCCTCTCCTTCTCTGATGCTTCCAATATTCTGTACTTCCAAGGATACAGGACACTAGACATCACCTCTGGAATCAAGCAGCCTACTTGCCCCTCTCCTTTAGATGTGTTTTCTGAAGTTTCTCACTTCTAGCCACTCACTGCTCCAGTACAGGATTCCCTTTGTCACCCTTCTCCTCTCTCTTCTGCTCTTGTCATCTGTTCGCTGTGATGCCATTTGGCCCCTCCCACTAGTGTAACAGCATTTCCTGGGGACCAACTTGCATGGCTGTTGAGTCCATATGCTTTTTGGCTTTGAGAGGGTTGAAAAAAGTGGGGAACAATTTCGTTTGGGAGTTAACCCATCGCAATCACAAAATTGGTCACTACCTGAGGCTTAGACAAAGTTGGGAACGTTATAAAGTTGAGGAAAAAAAGTTTCAAGGAATATTTTATGTGACATAGACATTGCCTAAAGATAAATTATAAATACACCGGTACAAGAAATGCACTAAACCATCACATGTTGGTTTTAATTAAACAACAACAATCCACTCCGGTGTGTCACAATCCAGTAGTACTAAAGGAACTGACTAGCACTACTCAGAATCAAAGTGGTATCTCGCCTTAATGTTTATGCAAAGATTTAATGCAATTTTGTTGAATTGAGACCAAAATCAGACATCTTCTTAGCAGTGGGCATTAGGATTTAACTGAGCAAATGAAAATCTATAATTTAAATGAAAAATTAGCATTTAATTCTTCACTAAATTAACACTGTGATAGCGGAGAAAATTAAGGCTTAAATATCTAGAAACTTTCTAGCTATAAAATGTTCCCCTGGAACTACCAGGGGACTAGACTATAAAAACAGTATTGCTCAGAAATTAAAAAAAATTTTTTTTAATTTTTTACAAAATTGGGGGAAAAAAACCCAAAACCCCAAACCAAGGACTAGTCCAGGACCAAAGAACGCTCCTCTCCGTCTGTAAATGACAGGGTTTCAGATGAGGAAAGAGCTATGCATCGAATGGCCACAAGAGGGCAGGGCGGACTGGATTTTTCTACACACCCTTAGACTCCCGTCTTCACCAAGTCAGTATTGACTCGTCCACAAGGGAAAAGAAAAGCCTAAATCCTGACACTGCTGTGATTTTTAAAATCACACCTATGGGAGTCCATCTCCCTGCACCCCCCAAGCGGCTTACAGGCCATACTGCTCTGAACTGGCTGTAAGCACCACCAGTTATAGAACTTAAACAGAACTGTATTCAACAAGGAGAGGGAGGGTCACATAACTCCTTACCAATGCACACAGAATACGTACTACTGCCCTGTCCTTCAGAGTTTAGGATGACCAAGAACCACTTCTCAGCTAGGTTAGTAAATCCCATCAATTCACTGGCTCTCACCCATGTTCATCAGTCCCACATCCTCCTTAACTATGGGCATCTTCCTAAATCAAGTGCATTCAGATTTTTTGCTAAGTACACAACCCATAAGGACGCTCCTCCTTGGGGAAGGGGGTAGGGGGATGGGGTAACTGGGTGATGGACATTAAGGAGGGCACGTGATGTAATGAGCGCTGGGAAATATGTAAGACTGATGAATCACTGAACTCTACCCCTGAAACTAATAATAAACTATATGTTAATTAATTGAATTTAAATTTTAAAAAAATGTTAATATGGTTAAAAAAGAATATTTTAGACGAATTTGAATTTAAAATTCTAAATAACAGTGCTATGCAGAGCCATCCTGACACCCGAGGCAAGAGGAAAAATTAGTAATTATCTTAAAGTTTGGGTATTTCATCTGTCCGAGATTTTATGTTAATTTAAATATTTTACTACCGCATTAAAATATTATTCATCCTAATTTTAAAAAGTTTCTCCTTTTCTAGAGACTAATCATACGCTAGCAACTGTTAAATATTTTAGTGATACTAGGTGAATTAATCTTTATGGTCGAAAAGTGTTTTTTGAGGGACACCTGGGTGGCTCAGTCCGTTAAACATCTGCCTTCGGCTCAGGTCATGATCCCAGGGTCCTGGGATTGAGCCCCGCAGCATCGGGTTCCCTGCTCACCGGGGAGCCTGCTTCTCCCTCTGCCTCTGCCTGCAGCTCCCGCTGCTTGTGCTCTGTCAAATAAATAAAATCTTTAAAAAAAAAAAGGGGGGGTTTTGAGACAAGAGAGACAGGTGACATGGGAATAATGATTTTGTACAACAAAGCTCAGTTTAACTCTTGAAATCCAGAGGTGGTTCCAAAGTAGAGTTAAGTACTTGTTTGAATTTCAGTATTAGCTTCATTTATCATTGCAGCACATTCTGGTTAAAAGCAAACTGAAAAATCAGAAGACAATGAAAAACTGTGCATACTCAGTTTCTACACATGTATCCAGTTCCATGTTAGTAAAAGATGCTTCACATGGCCTATTTCTCATTATTCTAAGAATAAAGAAGGTATCTAACTATTGCTATCAAATTCAAATAAAGCCTGAACAAGAAAATAGATGGGTTAAAAGTCACTAGAGGCAACTCAACATTATTTTTATTAGAACACCCATGTTCATCGAAGCATTATTTGCAATCGCTGAGACATGGAAGATATAAGTGTCCACTGATGGATGAAGAGATGAAGAAAATGTGGGGCACATATATACCTGAATATGACTCAGCCATAAAAAAGGAGGAAATCCTGCCAATTGTGATAACATGGATGGGCCTTGAGTAATTACACTAAGTGAAATAAGAGAAAGACAAATACTGTACAATCTCTCTTCTCTTACGTGTGGAATCTAAAATCTAAAAACCCCCCCAAAACCAAAAAGAATCCCCAAAAAACCTGAGTTCACAGATACAGAGAACAGGATGGTGGTTGCCAAAGGTGGGAGCTGTGGGGTGGGTGAAATGGGTCAAAAGGTACAAACTTACAGCTGTAAAGTTAGTTAAGCCCTAGGACGTAATGCAGGGCATGGAGACTACAGTGAATAATACCACACTGTCTATTTGAAAGTTGCTAAGAGAATAAATCTTAAAAGTTCTCATCACAAGAAAAAAATTTTGTATCTATGTGTGATGACAGACGGTAACCAGACTGACGGTGGCGCCCATTCCGCAGTGTATGCAAGTATCAAATCATTATGCTCTGCGCCTGAAACTAATGTAATGCTGTATACGTCAATTATAACTGAATAAAGAATTGAAAAAAAAAGTGTTGCTGTGCAAACTCTGAGGGGAAAAAATAGTACTTCTATGTATTATTTTTTAAAAAGCAAGGACAGCAGAACGCTATCTGCACGGCTTTCCTGGGTCCTGTACATGATCCCACAGGGGCAAGTACCCTTCCGCTTACTTACTTACAACCTGTATTTCTGAGATCTTTTTTTTTTTAAGATTTTTATTTATTTCAGAGAGAGAGAACACACATGAGCAGGGGTAAGGGGCAGCGGGAGAGGAAGAAGCAGGCTTCCCGCTGAGCAGGGAGCCCAATGCAGGGCTCGATCCCAGGACCTCGGGATCATGACCTGAGCCGAAGGCAGACACTCAATCGACTGAGCCACCCAGGTGCCCCTCCTGAGATCTTTTTGGTAACAAATGTACAGAAGTACTTTTCCTAATTAAAAATTTCAATTTAATATAACTTAAAAAATTGTTTCGAATTTGCATTTCAAAACAATGTAATCAAGTCATTAAGATTTCTCTATTTAAAATTTAAAAAAGACTATGGAAATATTTTTTTAATTTTGAATTTCAGTGTAGAATTTAATTTAGTATTATTCAAGACAGATGATCAACTTAACTTCTGAAAAATCTGGACCTGTGGAGGTTGAAGTTAGATGACATAGGGTGAGACTGGGTTTGATTTCTTTTGTAATGTCTAAGTAACACATAATTTAGTCTCTCTCTCTCTGAAATAAAATGAGATTCAAACTTGATTTGACCAAGAGTTTAGTTTTTTTTTTTTTAAGATTTTATTTATTTGACAGAGAGAGAGACAGCAGGAGAGGGAACACAAGCAGGGGGAGTGGGAGAGGGAGAAGCAGGCCTCCCGCCGAGCAGGGAGCCCGATGCGGGTTCAATCCCAGGACCCTGAGATGATGACCTGAGCCGAAGGCAGACGCTTAAAGGACTGAGCCACCCAGGAACCCCGAGTTTAATTTTTTTTTAAATTTTTTTAAAGGTTTTATTTTTAAGTAATCTCTACACAATGTAGGGCTTGAACTTGAACTCATTACCTCAAGATCAAGAGTCACACACACTCTAGCAACTGAACCAGCCAGGTGCCTCCCAAGATTTTCATTTTATTTTTGAAAGCATCAAATTAGAATACAATTATAGGGAAAACTGTGTCTAACAATGACGCACAGGTAAATGTTTAACAGTACTGGTGAACTGTCTATATATTCAGACCGGACCGAGCATTCCATCCTGCAAAGAGATGAATTCACACTCTGTTTATAATAAAGGAACATACCAATTCCTTCACTCTGCTCTTTTCTAGATTGAAGTCTAACTTGGTATCTGTTCGGACTTTGACCACTTCATCCTGGCAGGAGGGCAAACAAAGAGAGAAAGAAATCCCAAGTGAGAAATGGAAACCCTCCTGGGATGTGAAGCCTGGGACTTCTCAGTCATATATAGAAATAATCCCTGCTTATACTCAAGTCAGTCCAGAGTGGGTTACTGCTGCTTTTAACCTCGAGATTCCCAGTGAACTCTCCTTATGGAATTTATGAAGCTGCTCCCTGGACAACTCTGGAAAGCAGAGATGGACTCAAAGAAGGAAAATATGAAATTCTGGTTTAAATAAAGCCTTCTTTCTTAACACTTGTCAGAATCTTTTCTTCCTTAACATCCATGTCCTTTCCACTTAAAAAAAAAAAAAAGAGAAATCGAACAGCTGCTACTAGTCAGCATTTTGAAATCACATGAAATTCTCTAAAGCCAGTCTGTTCTAACGGAACCTAAAGGCTCCATATGGGGCAACTTCAACACTTTTTAATTTAAAGATGACTTCATTCATCCTAGAACACAATTTTCTTAATGAATTTGGTTACAGACATCACCAACTTATTCACTGACTATTCTCAGCTAAATCTTTCAGTGCATACTTTTGAGACATATTACACAACTATTTAACATAGGATTACGTTTTTAAGAACACCTAAAGAACTTCTGACACTGTATTTATTACTATGTTTATGTAACCACCAACAAGCATGCAAAGAGGAGTGAGGGTCTCACCATTATTTGTTGTTTTAACCGATGTAGTTCCACGTTTATCTTCTAAAAACACATTAAAAAAAAACAACACGAAAACAAGTCAAGGATATGGCTAGAAGGTTAGAAAAAAATACATAAAACTTGTAATAAACATACATTAGAACATGTTTTTGCACACAGTTCTAGCTGCATTCAGAATGAAACATGAGCTGAAAAGTCTTAGGAGCAGACATGATTATCTGTCATGCCAGGACGGTATTACAACACATGCGCCTACTGGGACAACTGGGTGGCTCAGTTGTTAGGCGTCTGCTTTGGCTCTGGTCATGATCCCAGGGTCCTGGGATTGAGCCCCACGTCGGGCTCCCTGCTCAGGGGGAGTCTTGCTTCTCCCTCGCCCACTCCCCCTGCTTGTGTTCCCTCTCTCATTGTCTCTCTCTCTCTAATAAATAAATTAAAAATCTTAAAAACAAAAAACAAAGAACAACGCATGCGCCTATCCTGAGATCAGTTTTAATTCATCCGAAAAGTTACATAAAATCAGTAACACAGTTTAATTTTTTTTTTAAGTAGGCTCTCCAGCGTGGAGCCCTATGCGGAGTTTGAACTCATGACCCTGAGATAAGACCTGAGCCAAGATCAAGAGTTGGACGCTTACTCACTGAGCCACCCAGGCGCCCGAGTAACAATTGTTTTTAACATACACGTTTGCCTCCAGAGGCCCTGCTGTCTTTAATACCTTCTTCAATTTTTCTTTTAACAAATTCTGCCTTCAAATAGCCAATTTCACGGGCAAATATAAGTTTCAAACTACTCTTTTCTAGCAAAAGGCATCTTTTGCTAGAAGGCCTCTCACAGGACTAAGACGAACTGCTAATAAATGGACTTCCTTTATGAGACTTTAGCTAGGACTGGAAATAAAAGGAAGGATGCAAACAGAGCACTTACTTCAATGCTGAACCCTATGCCACACTTTTTTTTTTTAATTTTATTATGTCAGTCACCATACAATACATCATTAGTTTTTGACGTAGTGTTCCATGATTCATTGTTTTCATGTAACACCCAGTGCTCCATGCAGAACGTGCCCTCTTTAATACCCATCACCAGGCTAACCCATCCCCCCACCCCCCTCCCCTCTAGAACCCTCAGTTTGTTTCTCAGAGTCCAGAGTCTCTCATGGTTCATCTCTCCCTCCAATTCCCCCCCCCTCATTTTTCCCTTCCTTCTCCTAATGTCCTCCATGCTATTCCTTATGTTCCACAAATAAGTGAAACCATATGATAATTGGCTTTCTCTGCTTGACTTATTTCACTTAGCATCATCTCCTCCAGTCCCAACCATGTTGATGTAAAAGTTGGGTATTCATCCTTTCTGATGGCTGAGTAATATTCCATTGTGTATATGGACCACATCTTCTTTATCCATTCATCTGTTGAAGGGCATCTCGGCTCTTTCCAGTTTGGTTCTTGTGGACATTGCTGCTATGAACATTGGGGCCCTTCTTTTCACTACATCTGTGTCTTTGGGATAAATACCTGGTAATGCAATTGCTGGGTCATAGGGTAGCTCTATTTTTAACTTTTTGAGGCACCTCCATACTGTTTTCCAAAGTGGCTGCACCAACTTACACACCAACAGTGTAAGAGGGTTCCCCTTTCTCCACAACCTCTCCAGCATTTGTTTCTTGCCTTGTCAATTTTTCTACGCCACACTTTAGAAACCAAGGGATACATGTGCAATGATGTGGATGGAACTAGAGGATATTAGGCTAAGTGAAGTAAGTTCATCAGAGAAAGACAAATACCATAATTTCACTCATATGTGGAATTTAAGAAACAAAACAGATGAACACAGGGGAAGGGAAGGAAAAATACAATAAGATAACAACAGAGAGGGAGGCAAACCATAAGAGATTCTTAATCATAGGGAACAAACTGCGGGTTGCTGGAGGGGAGGGGGTGGGGGGATGGGGGAACTGGGTGCTGGGCATTAAGGAAGGGACTTGATGGAATGAGCACTGGGTGTTATATGTAAGTAATGAATCACTAAATTCTACCCCTGAAACTCATAATATACTGTATGTTAACTAAATTGAATTAAAAAACAAAAAACAAGAAACCAAGGGATATTTTGCAGCAGCACTTTGTGATAACCAAAAGCTGGAAACAATTCTAATATGCAGTTGGTCCTTGAACAACGCAGGGGGCTAGGGGCACTGATCCTGCCCAGTTAAAAATCTCCATACGTAACTTCTGACTCCCCGAAAACTCAACTACTAATAGCCCACCTTTGACCAGAAGCCTTACCGGTAACATGACACATATTTTGAATGTTATGTGTTACACACCATCTTCTCAGAATAAAGTAAGCCAGAGAAAAGCAAATGTTATTAAGAAACTCATAAGGAAGAGAAAACATTTACTGAACTGTGTAAGTGGACCTGTTCAGTTCAAACTCGTGTTGTTCAGGGGTCAAGTGTACATCACAGCAGAAAAATGTGGCACATTCATATACTACTACCGACAATGAGCAAGACTGATCTACGGTAAGACGCACCACAGGATTCTCCCAGATGTAGTTCTGGAAAAGGCAAAACTGGTCAACGGTGACGCAGGTCAGGATAGCGGTCTTCCTGTCAGGGGATTAGCAAGCTTCTGGGGTGCCAGTAATACTCTACTTCGTGACCTGCTGGTGGGCACTTGGTGAAAACACATCTAACTTGTGCCCTTTGGTCTGTGCATTTATGTCTCAATGTCTCGATAGTGAGCATCTTAATATGACTGGCTCTTTAGTTTTACCTCATTTTCTGCTCTGAGGGCTGAAAATTCGCTCTTCTCCAAAATAATCATATCTTTTTTCACGTTGGCAATCTGAGACATTATTTGCTGTACGGTGATCTCCTAGGAAAAAAAAAACAAAACATATAACCTAGGCTGGCCTAGGATGTCTGCCTCTTACCCGGAATCATCTTAGTGAGAAACGAGGAGAATATGGACACAAGAAGAGAGGTTCAGCAAGGTCATCCTCTATTCCAGAATGAAGAAAGGAAAAGAATAAAGACTCCAGTCCAGTATCATCAAGTGAGCCAGTTCAAAGGGTGGCAGTCTGAAGACCAGCAGCTCAAGAACACACTGCTGTAATTCCAGCCACATCTCCCTTTGTTAAGTATGGTGGACTGGAATAGGTCATTTTCAAGCATAGTTGAGTTTTCCAACATGACTCTGCAACAGCTGACAAAAGAGCTTCAAAAAAAGAAAAAAATATAAATATATTTTTTAAAGTAGGCTCCATGCCCAGTGAGGAGCCCAACGTGGGGCTTGAATTCACAACCCTGAGATCAGGACCTGAGCTGAGATTGAGTCAGATAGTTAACCGACTGAGCCACATAGGTGCCCCTCGAATAAAATTTTTTTATAACACTGGAATCATTTGTCTCTCAACTATGGTTAAAAGTACTATATGCTTTTTGGGACGCCTGGGTGGCCCAGTCGGTTAAACGTCTGCCTTTGGTTTGGGTCGTGATCTCAGGGTCCTGGGACTGAGTCCTGCATCGGGCTCCCTGCTCAGCAAGGAGTCTGCTTCTCCCTCTGCCCCTCCCCCTGCTTGTGTTCTCTCTCTCTCAAATAAAGAAAATCTTTTAAAAAAGTACTATATGCTTTTCAGTGGAGTATTATCCAAAAATACATATTACAAATAACATCCCAGCTTTAGACTTTAAATTTGCTACCACTCCCCCCAACAAAGCTAACCTGCTGCATCTTGGTGACCATATCCTTGTAGACAATATCCATGTTGGCGTCCGTGATCTTGACCAATGCAGAGACAGTGATTTCTGCTTGCTGGGTGGAGAACCCTAAGCAAACACACAAAAGATAATCACACTCTGGAGACTCCATTTGTTGGGGAAAAAAGAGAAAAAACCCTTCACAGAAGGGGAGAAAATGTTTGAATTCAGAAAGACTGGAGTCCTAGGCTATGATGTGTCTGTCACTCTGGATAAGCATGACATATCTGTTTTTTCATGTAAAGATAAAGGGCCGGGCTGGTGTCCTCTACCGTCCTACCTAGCTGCAAAAAGTCGTATTTCCTGAGAATGTCTCATGACGTAGAGGAAGCCTGCAATGTGGGGGTCAAGGAAAGGAAAGCAAGATCAAAATTACAGATGCAATTTACTGTAACTTAACAAAGATTCTAGGTAATCTTTATTTCCTTCCCCCTGGCCTAAATTTTCCAAAATAACGTGATTTCCTTATTTATTTTTATTATGTTAATCACCATACATGTGATTTCCTTATTTTAAAATGTACACGTTAGTAAGGAATAATTTACTTAAGTAGGAAAGCTCAGTTATTTCACATCCAGCATAAAGCCATCAAATCATTGACCATATAAAGATAACTAGTAATTTAGCTGTCAATTTATCTGATGTTAAAAGGCAAAATCCATTCTTTTATTTTTCCTCCTCAAGTCTCTTCGGTCACTTGCACAGAGGGGACGAGGCTGGAAAAAAATATATTCTTTGATACTCAGTAAATGATGCTGAATTGAAAGATCTAACTCAGCAGTGTTACTACTTTCAATAACTTTAGATAGTACTACCTAGAAAGCTAATAATACCCTATATGTTAATTAACTGAATTTAAATTAAAAAATAAAAAAATAAAATTGTAAATAAACAAATAACTTTAGATAGTAATTTATATTTCACATTAGAAATTCTAATAAAATGCTTGAAACCAAGTCCCTGGAAAGTAATTTTTTTCTATTAAATACTTCCATCCATAAGAACTACAGAAGAATCTACTGATTCTAGTAATTAAAGGCACATTTGTTTGAATAAAACTGTAACTGATACAATTTGGATAAGATTAAGCACAGACTATAATTTTTTTAAATTTTATTGAGAAAGTGAGTTCACACGTGCACACACATACACGAGTGGGGGGGAGGGGCAGAGGAGAGGGGTAAAGAGAATCTCAAGCAGACTCCCTGCTGAGCATGGAGCCTGGAACTCAATCTCAAGACCCTGAGATCATAACCTGAGCCAAAATCAAGAGTCTTAATGGACTGAACCACCCAGGCGGCCCCTAACTATAATTAAGAAACAAAGACAAAGATTTAAAAGAGACAAAAAGACCTCCAAAGACCTACGCCCTTCATTTATTCAAAATCCTTTGATTTTCAACATATGGGTCATCGGCATCTAGAAAAATCATCCAAAAGGTTACCCACCAAACTGTTACATTGGTTTGCTCTAGGGTACTGGGATTCAGAATATTTTTTCCTGTTTCTTTTCTGCCTTCCTAATTTTTTTGAAAATGAAAATGTGTCTTTTAATTTTTAAAACTTTATGAAGAAGCGTTCATAGTTAAACATAGTTAGGTTTGGCAATTATGAAGAAAAGAAAAAGAGACCAGAGGAGAACTTAGGCTGATAATAAACTCCACAGCCTTATCATTTATAACTACCTATGGGAAGAGAAAGGCATAAGAAAAAGTAGAAGTTAGGCCTGAAAACCTAAAGGGTTACCAGATACAAAATAATGCTTTGTAGGAACGAGAGAACAAGACACGATCAGGGTTAGAGAGATTACAGACACCCCAGAAGTTCTGTGAAGCAGGAGATGTAGCTCTAGAGAAGACAAGGACAGAAGGTGGGAGTGCTCCTGGACAGGTCCTTCCAGGCCTCACCCTGCCGCATCTTAGATTCATCGTTCACTTAAGAGGCCTCATGCCCTACACTTCGGTGGGGTCCTCACGACACCAGTCTTGAGATACACGAAGACTCATGCATCAAGGTTTGAAATCAAGAAAAGCAGGAAGTACGTCTGTCGAAACATCACACTTTAAACATTAAACATGAACAATTTTTATTTATCAAAAGTAAATAAATAGACTTTTTGGGGGGGCCATCTCGAGCCCACTGCCGCCATCTTGCCACTTAACAAGATTCATGATGCTCCCTTACTCTCATCCAACCCTAGTGTGGAGTGAAACGCCCCCCTTCTCTCGAATGTGGCTTTTTACAATGGGTTACTCTGAATGCAAAAATACAAGGTCCACAGAAAAAAGGGAAAAGCAGGAAGACTTCTGCTTATCCACATAATTTCTGATGCCTCTCTTCTCCATTCCACTTTTCTTTTTTAAATTCTGAGCTGAAAGAAGTTTTGGTGAAAAAGGCCTAATGTTTCAAGTTTGAGAAGGAAAGCAATGAAAATTATGATACGGCACTTAACAGTTTTTCCAAAGTGCACTCAAGTACACTGTATTTCCTTTAATACTCAAAGGAATCTTTGGAATTCTTATTGTGCCCACCCTGCTGATGAGATGAGGAGATAGAAACCGGGAAGGATGGGGTGCCTGGGTGGCTCAGTCGGTTAAACGCCTGCCTTCGGTTCAGGTCCATGATCTTGGGGTTCTGGGATTGACTCTGCGATGGGTTCCACACTCAGCGGGGAGCCTGCTTTTCCCTCTCCTTCTGCCCCTGCCCCCTGCTCGTGCGCTCTCTGTCTCAAATAAATAAATAAAATCTAAAAAAAAGAAGAAAAAAGAAACTGGGAAGGACGAGAGAACTGCCTGGCTTTGCAGCTGGGTCCTGGCGGAGCTTGAACCCAGAGCTTCTAACTCCCCAGTGCTAGCACAGAGCCCACTCCATCCGCTTGCCCTGGGCAAGCAAAGCACAGCTACAGCGTTAGTTCTGCAGATACGAACACGCACAGCTGGAGAAAGAGCTATGGCGTCGTGAAGAGTCACAATACAGAAAACTAGCCTCGGTCTATCTGCCTGGAGGAGATGCAATGAGCACGTTACCTATGCACCGAATGCACCTTCAATAAATGTCATATATGTTAGAGCATCTTTTACATAAATTAACAGCAATAAGGAAAAATATTAGTTGGACTATTAAAAAAAAAACACAAGCTGAAATTATTAGCCATTGCTGCTCAGCAACATTTTCATTTCGTAACAATTTTAAAAGCACACAACATGCACGGTAACAAAACTACCACTTTGTGCGTCAGGCAGGTGTCATAAGAACCATTCCTGAGTTTTGCTAACTTGTGTCTAAATTTTTATCTGTAACACTCTACCTCCGGAGGGATGTTATAAAAATACACTTCTCACCGACAAAGAAAAATGTGTGCAAAAAGTCTCTCAACTATACTGGCGGAAGCAAAAATGTCCTTAAACAAAAAATAAGAACTTAAAAAAAACCAGAGATTGACCAAAAGCGTGTTATCTGTAGACTTAAACGCCAAAGAGAAACAGAAGTTAGATAAGATCACGAGAACTAAATGTTTTTCCGAGTGACCCACGAAAGGATTACCATTTTCTTCCAGTAAACACACTAAGGCATGGGTGTCAAAGTAGAGCTTCTTGTTCCCACAGGAGGTGAAATCTCTCCTTTTGTGCTCCAGATCTCTCCTGCGCTCCAGCTGCAGGCTCCCAGCAGAGAGGCTCAGCTCTAGAATGTAAAGGACAATTAGGCTCAAAACAGGATCTGATGGTAAAGAAAAGCCATGAAGGAATATGGCATACCTCAAAAGCCTACCTGGTTGGGGCTTTATGACATGAAATTCACATACCATACAATTCACCCATTTCTTCACCCATTTAAGTGTTCGATTTGATTTTTACTGTAGAGTTCTGAAATCTTCTGCACAATCAACTCTAGAACATTTTCATCATCCCAAAAAGAAACCCTATACCCTTTAGCGATCATGCCCCAATCTCCCTACTCCCTCAACCCCAGGCAACCCCTCATCCACTTTGTCTTTATGGATTTGCCTACTCTGTGCATTACACATGAATAGAATCATAAGGGATGTGTACTGTGTGACTGTTTTTTTTTCACCTAGGTGAGGTTTTCAAGGTTCATCCACCTTATAATTATGTGCACTTTATAACTTTTTGCTGAATCTGTTTTAGGAATATACCAATTTTTTCTTACCTACTGATCAGTTGAAGGACATCTGAGTTGTTTCCACTTCTTGGCTGCTATGAACAATGATGCTGGGAACATTTGTGTATGAGATTCTGTGTGAACAAGTTTTCAGTTCTCTTGGGTATATACCCAGGAACTGAATTGTTGCATCATACAGTGACTATGTTTATGAGGTTATGCCAGACTATTTTGCAAAGTGGCTACACCATTTTTCATTCCCAACAGCAATGTCTGAGGGTTCCAATTTCTCTATATTATCAACATTTACTGCCTGTCTTTTTTATTATAACCATCCTAGTGGGTATAAAGTGGTATCCCATTGCAATTTACTTATTATTTTTTAGGTATCTCTTCAACTAGGTATTTACTTACTTGTTCTCTATAATTAAGAGTGTTTCTTAGCTTGTCTCTCATCTTTTCCCTTTGTTCCTGTGTTTCTTAAATCCCACGAGTGAAATCATATGCTATTTGTCTTTCCCTGATTGACTTATTTTGCTTAGCATAATACTCTCCAGCTCTACCACATCATTGCAAATAGCAAGATTTCATTCTTTTTTATCGCTGAATAATAGTGTGTGGTGTGTGTATATATATATACACATATATATATATCACCTGTTCTTTATCCATTCATCTATCAATGGACACTTGGGCTGCTTCCATAATTTGGCTATTGTAAATAATGCTGCAATAAACACAGGGATAGCACACTGCAGTTTTGATTTGTACTTCCTTGACGCCTAATGATGTTGAGCGTCTTTTCACTGTTTATTGGCCATTTGTATATCTTTGAAGAAACATCTCTTCAGACCCTTTGCCCATTTATTTTTTTTTTAAAGATTTTATTTATTTGAGAGAGAGAGAGAGAGAGAGAGAGAATGAGAGACAGAACACGAGAGGGGGGAGGGTCAGAGGGAGAAGCAGACTCCCTGGTGAGCAGGGAGCCCGATGTGGGGCTCGATCCTGGGACTCCAGGATCATGACCTGAGCCGAAGGCAGTCGCTTAACCAACTGAGCCACCCAGGCGCCCCCCCTTTGCCCATTTAAAAAAAATTGGGTTATCTTTTGGGGTACCTGGGTGGCACCTGAAACCAACTCTTGGTTTCAGCTCAGGTAGTGATCTCAGGGCTGTAAAAGCGAGCCCCGCATCAGGCTCCAAGCTCAGGGCAGGGTCCGTTTAAGATTCTCTCTCCCTCTGCTCTTCCTGCTCATGCTCTAATAAATAAATAAATCTTTTTTAAAAACTGGGTTATCTTTTTATTATTGAGTTGGTTGTTAAGAATTCTGTATACATTTTAGGGTCACCTGGGTGGCTCAGTCGCTTGAGTGTCTGCCTTAGGCTCAGGTCATGATCCCAGAGTCCTGGGTCAGGCTTCCTGCTCAGCGGGGAGTCGGCTTCTCTGCCCTTCCCCTGGCTGGTGCTTTCTCTCACTCGCTTGCTCACTCTCTCTCTCAAATAAGTAAATATTTAAAAAAAGAATTCTTTACATATTTTATTTTTATTTTTTAAAGGTTTTATTCATTTGAGAGAGCGAGAGAGCGTGAGAAAAGAAAGCACAAGGGGGAGGCTCATAGGAAAAAGGAGACTCCTCACTGAGCGGGCAGCCCGACGTGGGACTCGGGACTCGATCCTGGAACTCCAGGATCATGACCTGAGCAGAAGGCAGACACTTAACTGACTGAGCCACCCAGGCGCCCTTCTTTATACATTTTAGATACAAGTTCCTTATCGTATATATAATTTGCAAATATTCTCTCCCATTCCGTGGGCTGGCTTTCACTTTCCTGATGGTGCCTTTTGAAGCACAATAGTTTTTAATTTTAACGAAGTCCAATTTATTTATTTTTGTTCCTTGTGCTTTTGGTGTCATATCTAAGAAACTACTGGCTAATTCCAGGCCACAAAGATTTACACCAATTTTTTTTTTTTAAGAGTTTTACAGTTTCAGCTCTTACTTTTAGGTCTCTGATCCATTTGAGTTAACTTTTATGTAGTGTGAGATGAGGGTTCGACTTCTTTTGCGTGTGGATATCCAGTTGTTTCAGCATTATCTTGGAACTTGTCAAAAATCAGCTGACTATAAATCATCTCTGGGTTCTCCATTCTATGCCACTGATTTATATCTGTCTTTATGCCAGTGACACATTTTCTTGATTACTTTTAGCTCTGTTTTAAGTTTTTGTATCAGGAAAGGAGTCTTCTAGTTTTATTCCTTTTCAAGATTGCATTGGCCATTCTGAGTCCCTTGCATTTCCATATGTATTTTAGGATCAGCTTATTAATTTCTACAGAGAAGCCACCTGAAACTTTGAGAGATTGTTTTAAATCTATAGATCAATTTGGGGGGAGTACAAAGTCTTCCAATCCATGAACATGGGATGTTTTTCCATTTATTTAGGTCTTTAATTCCTTTAATAATGTTATATAGGTTTCACATAGTACAGCTGACCCATGAACACAGGTTTAGACCACATGGGTCCACTTATACATGGATTTTTTACAGTACGGTATTTCCTCTTCTTTATGATTTTCTTAAATGTTTTCTTTTCTCTCACTTCCATTATTCTAAGAATACAGAATATAATACATATAATATACAAAATATGTGTTAAGTGACTGACTGTTATGATAAAGTTTCTGGCCAACAGTAAGCTATTAGTAAATTTTGGGGAAGTTAAAAGTTATACACAGATTTTCAACTGTGTAGGAGTTGGCACTCCTCAGCCCTGTGTTGTTCAAGGGTGGTTAATCACATAAGTTTTCTGAGTTTTTTGTTAAATTTATCCCTAAGTACTTTATTTTTTTTGATGCTACTATAAAGGGAATTGTTTTTTAGATTGTTCTAGTGTAGAGTAATGCAACTGATTTTTGTACTTTTTGTTATATTTTTTATGTTCATCTTGTACCTTGCAATCTTCTTGAACTTGTTAATTAGCTCTAAGGGTTTTTTAGTGAATTCCTCGGAGTTTTCTATGTACAGGGTCATGTCACCTGTGAACAGTGATAGTTTTACTTCCTCCTTTTCATTGTCTTGCCCTGGTTAGAACTTCTAGTACAATGTTGCATGGCTGGTGATAGCAGACATCCTTGCTCCTGACCTTTGGAGGGAAAGCATTCATCCTTCACTATTAAGTATGATGTTAGCTGTGGGTGTTTCACAAATGTCCCTCATCAGTGAGGCAGTTCCCTTCTATTCCTAATTTGTCAAGTGCTTTTCATCATGAAGGGGTGCTGAATTTTGCCAAATTCCTTTTGTCTTTTGAGATGATCACATGGTTTCTTTTTTTTTTTTTTTTTTTTTTACATATGGTGTGGTACAGGAATTGATTTTCAGATGTTAATCGAGCCTGTTGTTCCTGGGATAGAATCCCCTTTGGTCATGATGTATACTCCTTTTTAACATATTGCTGGATTTGATTTGCTGAGTATTTTGTTGAGGATTTTTGTCTCTATTCATAAGAGGTATTGGTCAATAGTTTTCTTTGTGATGTCTCTACAAAAGTCTATCTTTAGAGAGATGTGTTCTAACAATTTGTATGTTAACCTTTCCTATGAATTTCTGTGCATTTAGCCACAGATCCAACTCTTTTGTAAACTTGTTTCAAGGTGCTCATTTGAAGAAGGTAGCATGGTAATGGTTCTCTGGCTTTTGTATTTCATGAACCATAAAAATAGTTTAAAAAAAATATGTAACAACTGCAATGCCAACTAGTAATTCTGTCCAGAAAGGACATTTAAACACAATAGCTCCTTACTATTACAATCATACTATAAAAGACATTTGGACAACAGAAGAAAAAAAAAGAGATGGACAATATAAAATAAAAAATTTTCATTTAGGGGCGCCTGGGTGGCTCAGTTGGTTAAGCGACTGCCTTCAGCTCAGGTCATGATCCTGGAGTCCCGGGATCGCGTCCCGCATCGGGCTCCATGCTCCGCAGGGAGTTTGCTTCTCCCTCCGACCCTCCCCACTCTCATGCTCTCTCTCTCTCTCTCTCTCAAATAAATAAATCTTTAAAAAATTTTTTTCATTTAAATGTAATAAACATAGCTATATGAAAATTTTGCTACATATTTGTCCTTACTTTTCTATGATGCCAGGTGTGTAGAAGAGTGGTAGAAGAAAAAATAGTCACTACTAACTCAAAGTTTGAAAATCCCCTAAGGTAAATCCCCTAAGTAACCAGAAAGATACTTCAGCTAATCAGCTCCTATTGTCAATCCTTCACCTCTAAGCACTCTAAAGGAAATTGCATGTAAGCAAAAAATGTGACATGGACAGAACCCTACAGATCATTTGTCTATAAGCCTACAGCAGTGGTTCCCACCTTGAAAAGAAGGTCACAATCAGTGTCAAGGTAAGTATTAAGAAATCCAATCATTTTGTACCAAGCCCTGTTTGCAGACTGACAAAATATAAAATCCAACAACTGTTATATGTATGTGTGAGTTAAATGGTTTAAAAAAAAAAAAAGGCCTTATATTCAGAGAACCGCTGGCCTACAGTATCAGGTCCTTGGCAAGGCACACAAATACAAAGCCTGTCCTTATTTAGCCCACACCTACCCTTTCAGCTTTCTTTCCAGCCACCTAAGTTATTCTGTGTCCTGTACTTGCATACCTTGGTACTCCACCCTTAAGTCTGGCTTGCCCCCCTTTTTCGACTGGCCAATTTTAAGCATCATTTTACCCCTCTCCGTTTAATTTTACAATCTGCTAAGCAAACATTATGTTCCAGGCAGGGCATTATGCTACACTGAGTGGTTCGGTCTGCTAGTTCCACCCAGGTCAGAGGGCCACCTTGATTGCTCCTTATCTGTGTTCGCAGCACAGTTCAGACAGCTCTATCGCAGTACTTACCATATTGTTTCCACATCTGTATCATCTACTAGTCCAAACATCCCAAGAGCAGTCAGTCTTAGTCATTTTCACATTGTTAGCATCTAGCAGAGGGCCTGGCAGACTGCAGGCCAGAAATAATTTTGTAAGAGAACTCTGTAATCTGGATCATGAGATGGTCTAGAAAAGAAAATCTGAAATCCACCTCTTCACCTATGATCTTCCCTTTTTACATAAATTAGCTCAGTTAAATCTGGTCCCTCTTTTTTCATTCTTTATCCCCAGTCCTGAGACAAAACTGGCCTCCAGGTTGAAGAGACTCCAAATGTCTGCCTGATCACAGAACAGACCTAGCTTGAGAAACAGTGGTGGTGAATGAATGAATGAACAAATCTCTTAAGGGGCTCTCTAAAGGCTAACCCACCCATCTTTTTAAACTGTGCTCAACTGTCCCATGGATCAGAGAGCTTGAAAACATTTGAGTCTAGAACTGGCTGGTGAAGAGTGATGGGATTTTTCTAGTACCAAATTGCTTGTTTCTAAGAACAAATTAATCATTTGTGTGATTTAAAACGTATCTCTCTCTCTCTCTCTCTCACACACACACACACAACATATACATCCCAAAAATAAACTGTCATGACTGTTTTCTAAACAAGAGCTAATTCCAATTCAGATGCTGCAGATTTTTTTCTCATCCAAAACAACTGGAATTCATTTCAACTGCAAGTTTACTTCAACAAAATATGTACTGTCATGTGAAAAGTGGAGAAAAGCGCTGGCCACTTCTCACTTGGCAGGCCAACCCCTGCTGATGGAAGCTGAATGCCATCTTGCCTTCTGTCAAAGGGCGAAGCCTGAGGAGGAGCAATACTCTGGCATTTAGAACACCTCTGACTCATTTTTCCTCCTTTATTGTGACAACAAAGTGAGGCTCAAGAACTAGGAATTCCCACTAATAACCAGGAAGCAAATAAACTGAGCTATGTTAAAGTGCAATGCGTAATTCTCCTTTGGAGGGACCTTCAGGATATCAAAAGGCTATTAGAACACACACACAAAAGAAGCCCAAAGTTAGCCTTGAACGGAGGAGGAAACCAAGTACAAACTTGCTATTCACAACATCCTTAAGTCTCAGTAGCCCTACTGAGAACGCTGGCACCAAACAAATCACTAGGCTGGAAGTAAAGGAACAAAACTCATTGGCTGATGGTCGCTCCTTAACTGTGTCTTGGCTGTTTCCCCATATTTATGCATCTGTCCTCACTCTGTGAAGAATGAGATCCTGAGCCTAATCCAATAGTACCACCTTCCTGATAAAACCCGAAAACTCATGAGAAAGAATACTCTTCCCTTTTGCCCCATAGTCTTGAATGAGGAGATGAAAATAAATCACAAATCCCCAGCTTGTCAAAAAAAAAAGAGCAACAAAAGACAAAAGAACCGAAATAAAGACCAAATCATCTCTAACTCATAATTACTGCAGAACACTGGCAAAGTTCACCACTCATTCCCCACTCTTTGTATGTAAAGCTTCCTTCCTTCACTTGTTTGCCCTCCCAATCAGTTTCTTCCCCAGCCGAGGGTATTTTTATATTTTAGAAACAGTCAACGTCTACTGGGCATGTCTATTAAGAAAAACATGAAAAAAAAAAAAGCCATCAGTGTGGTTACTGATGGCTTTTGATTGATATGACAGACCACCCAAAGTGATATTTTTGCCCTTTGCTGATAAAGATTACCCCAAATGATATTTTCATCAACAATGTCTTATCTAATACATTGAGCCTGTTTCAGACTTTCCTAATCTTTATGCAGGGCAGTGACTGCTCTCACCTCCTTCAAGTATTTAATCCAATGCCACCTTCTCAGCATAAACTATTCTGCTAACCCCATTTAAATTCACTGCTGGCGGCCTCACTTCCTAACCCTTACCACCTCCATTTTTTTCCTACGGTATTTATCACTTCAGTACATAGATTATATATAAATCCTATGTGTATATATAAATTATAACGATCTACCTACATCAACTCCTCTGCTACAGTGTACGTCCGAGATTTTGCTAACTGATATATGCCAAGTACCCAGAAAAGCGCCAGCCAAGCACAGAACAGGCAACTAGTGTTCAATGAGTTAATAAAGCCACTAGAGTTGGAAGTGAAATTGTAGTTCCTAGAGCTTCGCTCCTCAATCTCGCAAAAGCCCCGCAGCAGCCCGCACCCGAGTGGCGACACGAGGGGCGCGTCACCGGCGCCCGCCCAGCGGCTCCACACCCCGGCGAGCACCAGCACCCCGCCCAGCGCGCACGGCCCTCCCGGCATCCCGGCCAACTGCGCTCCACACGCTTGTGCCCAGGACTCCGGGTCACCAGGGCGGGGGCAGACAGACCTGCGTTCCACGCCCTAGAGGAGCCCGGCGACCAAGGCTGACCCGACCTCTGGGTCGCCGAGCTTCCCCCACCCGCCCAGCCCGGAAGGTCAAAGCCCAAGCTGGCCCCGCCCCCTGCCCCGCGAGGCGAGCCCCCTGCTCCCCGCCGGCCGCGCGGGCCTCACCTCTCCTGGACGAAGTGAGGGCGGCCACTCGGCCGCGGCACAGGTGGAGGGCGCCGGCGGCCCAGGCGATGCCTGGGGCCAGGCCCCGCAGGTACCTCCCCGCGCCGCCACGGCCGGCCGCGGGGACGGAGGGCCTCGGGCGCGAGCGCTCCGGGTCCGCGAGGGGCCGGCGCGGGGCGACGGCGGCCAGGCGCGGGGAGGGCACGAGCAGGAGGAGGAGCAGCGGGGAGGCACGTGACGCGCCGCCGCGGGCCGCCGGACCACGAGACCGCAGCGCCCCCAGACCCACGGACAGCGCTGACAGGCAGTGGCGCGCCGAGACGCCGCGGCCGCCCGGACTTCCGCAGCTGCCTGACGGCAGGAAGAGCAGAAGCCGCCGGCGGCCCGGCGGACTCTTCGGCCGCCCGCCCGCGACGAAGCCGCGGTCCATCGCCACGGCGGTCACCGGCCCGAGCGCGCGCTCATGCTGCTCGCGCGCCGCGCCGGCCCGAGTCCGACGACAGGAGCGAGCGTGGGCGGTGGCGCCGGGCCCGCCCTTTCCTGCCGGGCGGGCGGGGCGCCGGGCGGGCGGGGCACCGGGCGCGCGCCGGGGCGGGGCCGGGCGGGGCGGGGCGGGGCCAGGCGGGGCGGGGCCCCACGAGACAGGCGAGCCCGGGCCATGAGCGAGTCTGCGACCCGCTCAGTGGAGTGGAGGCCGCTCCCGGACCTGCGATGCCTTCTGGCTGCCACGATTTGCATATTCATTACGCTGGTGTCCTTACGAAGACGTTCATTACCCTGGCGGCTTTCACAGTCCCGAGAAAAGTCCCCCCACTATACCAGGCTGCCCTAGATTTTACTATCCCCATCTGAAGTCCCCCAAGTGTGGCGCTGGGGTGCATGTTAAGGAATTAACAGGGCCAACGGAGCGGCGTTTACATAATCAATACATTTTAAAGGCTAAACTTCAGAGGTTTTCTTTCCGGATTAGCACACCAAGAAAGGAGAAAGCCTCAATCGGGAATTTAAAACGGGCATGGATGTTAACTGAGACCTCTCAGCAGAAGATGTGAAACTAAGGGTGTTCACTTCAGGGTGCTTTTTTGAATGCCTGATGCGCCTCTCTCAGTTAATGGTCCATTGCGTGAACTCCGTAGATGTTCCTTGAGTGAAGGAATGAAATATGCACAGGACTGCAAGTTTGGAGGTAGAAGAAAAATGAGATTGTTCTTGTCCTCCAGGAGTTTTCTGATACACTTATATTTGCCCACATACGTGAGGGAAGAAAAACATGTTATGAGCCATAAGAACTACAAAGTGCTGATTAGACAGAAGAGAGTGCATAAGCCTGTGGAAGAGATGTTTAAGCGGCTATCAAAATATAAAGAATTAGGAATATTAAGGTGCAAGTAGACACTTTCCTAAAAAGTAGGAGTTACACGTTTGTAGAACTGGTAGGGAAAGCAATTTAGCAATATGTATCAACAGACTTTTGTGTTCATAAATTGATGGCATGTGGTTTGTTTCCAGTTTTGGGCTATTACGAATAAGGCTATTATGAACATTCTTGTATAGGTCTTTGTGTGGACATATGTAATTTATCTCTCGTTAAAGAAAAAAATTATTCGATGACACTTGTTAATGCACAGTAAGGAAAACTTTATTCAAGGGTGGGGGACGATCTTGACAGGTATCGGGAGCACTCCCGTGGAATTTTGCAGTGGGGGAGAGAGAGATTGGGCTCAACTTCAAATATAGCAGAGACAGGTGGGAATTTATAGCCACAGAGCAGGGTGGGGGTCAGTGGGTGGGGAATTAACTTCGAGGAAACATCCGGACTAAGATTCTGGCTGGATTCTGGCTAAACCAACCTCACAGGATTCTTACTGAAGGCAGATCAGGGTGATCAGATACGGAGGATGGGGGATCCTGGTTAATTGTTTGTGGGGAATTTTGCTAAAACTGGACCGTGCAGAGAGGAACAGGGAAGTCCAAAAGTCAGGCCTAGTTGGAAAGGAGTTCTGTAGAAACTGAGCAACGTTTGGTCAATGACAAAATCTTGGTCATCCTCTTGGGGAAGGATCTAGGAGTCAAATTGCTGATTCATATGTTAAGTGTAGTTTAAATTTTTTAAAATTTTACTTATTTAAGTAATCTCTACACCCAACATGGGGCTCAAACTCCTGACCCTGAGATCAAGAGTTACAGGCTTTCCCAACTGAGCCAGCCAGGTGCCCTAAGTGTAGGTTAACTTTACCAAAAATGCCAAATTGTTTTCCAAAGTGATCATACCCCTTTATACTCTCACCAGCGGTAGCTGAATTTCAATTATTCCATCTCCTAGCCAAGTTATGGTATATTCTCTCCTAATGGGGTAGTATCTCACTGTGATTTTAACATACGTTTCCCTGATGAATAATGATGTTGAGTACCTTTTCGTGTTGTTTTAAAAACTGTTATCGTCAGTATGAAATGCAGTCATAAATGTCCAGTGCTTAGCACAGTGCCTGGCATGCAGTTGAAGCCTAGTAAATGTGTCAGTACCAATTGTAGGTTGGATAAGACTTTTCCTTGGTTAAAACATGACACATGTTACTGGCTTTCCAAAGCATCTCCTTTTTCTCGGTCTCAGCACCCCATTTTTCCACGGGGAGACACTTGTCCCTGCTTTCGGTCCAGGTAGTTTGGGTTGGCCAACCTTTCTCCAGGCCACAGACATGGGCATGTCACCCAATGAGAGTCAGTGAGCTTTAAGACTAGGAGTTTTCTAGGAGTTATTGGGAAGTAGAAGGTCTTATTTTATGCTGATACCTAGGTATAGGATGTTTTGAACCCTGAGCTCTTGGTGTTTCCATGTGGCCGGAGACTGAAGCCATTATGAAGAAAACAGACCTGAAAGATGAAGAGCAATGTCTTGGTTCTAGCTTAACCTGAAACTGACATTTTTATTTATATAAACCAACAAACTTTTTTGTTTAAACCAGTAGGGTTTGTGTCTCTTATTCTGACTAATGACATGAATCTAATGAAAGGAAAGACTAGATACAGAGATCTAATGGCCATATAAAAAAGAAGTATCAACATATCGAGGCTTCAGGCAAGGGCCAAACAACCTGGAAGGTTCAGGACTTTCTGGCAAAGTTGAATGGGAGAATATACTTAAACCTGGAGCCAAGCTGGTGCCCTCTGACTCTCACCCCACATCTAGACTTGGGGACCTTCCATGAGCAGATTTGGGTTCACAGAACAGAACCTCTGAGACACCACAGCTGTGAGAACTCTAGGTGGGCCACACATACTCTGAGGTGCCAGCAGAGAGTAGAGGAATGATGGCCAGAGCTGCCCCTGGAAGAGGCCCTGGGCCTGCCCTTATGTGTAGTTATGTGGTGGTGACAGAAAGATCCAGGGCTCATTGTCTGGGTGCAAGCAAATCAAAGACAGAAGAAAGGAGCTGGAGCGTGTGAGTGTGACTTTCAACATAATGACCCTTTTTACAAGTAAACACTGACCAGGAGAGATCAGCTTCCACTAATCAGATTAGCTCTTCTCCCTAATGGAAGAGTAGTAAAGGGTGAGGAGAGGATTCTGGCTCTAGGTAAGATGGAGTAAGCACACGCCATCCCATCTCTTCAACTCAATGCAGCTATAAAATCTGGATAGAAAGCATAGAGCAGGTATTTGAGGACTCTGAAAACTGAATAGTAGCAAGCAGATCGGTGAAGACGAAATTTCAAAGTACCACCAAACTGATGTTCAGTTCACAGAATTTTTTCCCCTGTGGCATCCTTCTAGCCTTTAGTCTCAACCCAGAATCCTATCTCCAGCAAACATTCCATCAGGAATGAAGATGGAATAAAAATGTTCTCAGATGAAGGAAATCTAAGACGATTTTTTTTTTTTTTTTTTTTGCCAGCAGTCTTGTTCTAAAAGAATTGCTAAAGGAAATTCACTAGGTAGAAGGGAAATGATACCAAAAGGAAGGTTGGAACATCAGGAATGAAGGAAGAGCAATAGAAATAGTAAATACCTAGGTAAATTTAATACACTTTTCCTCTTTAAAATATGCTTAATGGTTGGAAGCAAAAATTATAACAGTGTCTGGTGGAGTTTTCAGTGTTTGTGGAGATAAGGTATAACATAAGTACAAAATAAAGGGGCAAGAATAAAGAGATTTATATGGTGGTAAGCTTTCTACATTGCACTTCAAGTGCTAAATACTGATTCCAAATGGACTTAGAAAAGTTAATACGGATATTGTAATGCCTAGAGCAGCCCATAAACATACTATTCAAAGAAATAGAGTTAAAATACACAATAGATAAAATCTAATAATAAAAAATGTTCAAATAACTCAAAAAGAGACAGGAGAAGAGAAATAGAAAATCAAAAAAAAAGAGGGAACCAACTAAAAGCAAATAAGGAAATGGTAGATCTAAATCGAAACATAGCAATAATTACATTAAATGTAAATGATGTAAACCAGGGGTCAACATAGTTTTTAAAAAGGACAGATAGTAAATATTTTTGACTTTATGGGCCACATACGATCTCTGTGGCATGTTCTTCTTCTCTGAAAACAGGTGGTGGGTTGGACCTGGCCCAGGGGCCATTGTTTGCCAACCTCTGGTCTAAGCACACCAATGAAAAGACAGAGATTATTGGATGAATTAAAAAGTAAAAGAAAAAAGAAACAGTGACCCAACTACACAGTTTACAAGAAACTCATTTCTGTTAGAAGGATATAAGTAGGTTGGAGAGGTAAGGAAAGAGGGGATGCTCCTCCTTAGTACTTCCCTGGGAGGTAAAAATCCCAATGAACGTACCTTCTAATGTGTGCTGAGATGGGAACTTGACAGAAAGAGAGGGAGTTCTCCTTGCTATTTCCTTCCTTTTCCCTTTTAGGGAAGCCAGATTTCTGACAATTTCAGAGTTTAAGAACATAGCCCTGAAACCGAAAGTGAAGGATGGCTCTGAGTTATCATCAGTTACCCCGATCAACCCTGAGCAATTTATGCCAGACAAGGGCCTTTGGACACTCATTCTGTGCCCATTTACTCTTAAATTACATATGATATTGAATACATTAGCTCCTTCCACAATCTTATCAGGTAAGAAACAGTAAGTTAAAGGGGAGGAGAAATAAGAAACTAATGTATAAGGTAGAGTAAGGAAGGTATGTGACAGTGATGTGGGAAACAAAGGCAGAAGGAAATGTAGATAAAATTAAATGCCCTTAAAACCTGCTGCCCGTTGACAAATACTTGAGGCGGGCAGAGTATAAAGTTCCTCCCGGAAGTTCCCAACTGTCTTAGTGTTAATGCATGGCTACAGGGAAAAACAACCTTGGTTTGACAATAGCTAAGCCTCAGGTTTCCTGAGTCTTCTTTTAGCATATGAATATCCTTTTGAAACTTCCCTTATCTTTCCTTCCCCCAACCCCAAAGTATATAATCAGTTGCCTGTCACACTCCTAGGACGGCAACAGCTCTTTCTGCCCAAGGGTCCTGTCCCCCGC